CCCCTAACCATCACAGAAAAACTCTCATCATCCTCATGAGTCAATTGGTGTCCTCAAAATCCCCTTACATCACTAAAATCTTCATCGAGAAGAGGAAGAGGTTCGATCGAAACTTCTCCGATCTCCCTCCTTCGACATCATCCATGGCTTCCACTACCCCCGTTAAGTTTCCTATGGTCTCCTCTATAATGTGGGGTGGTTCATGCACCTAAAAGATCATCGATAGTTGAATGGACAATCGACAATGGTCGTTTCATCCTTAAGGGCATTTTGAAAATTTTATGTCGTGGGTTTGTTGGTCATTTCACATCCGATTATTGGCGTTCTAGTCACCGTATAACAGACCTTCCCGACACCCATAAATAGTTATTTCCTCCTTCATTACCGATCGAAATAATCAATCTTCATCGAAATCAAAGAAAACAAACTAATCCGAGGAAGAAAGTCTTAACATTCTCACAACGTTTAGGTAACTTCGAATCTATTTGGATTATTTAAAACTATAAATGAATGTAAAATGATGTGTTGTGGATGAGTGTGTTGTTAAATATTCTATTTGATTATACATGAGACTTTTATCCGTTGTTTTTTTTTTTTTTTGAAACGAAGTCGTTGGTAGTGATCGAAGCCGCTCGTAGCATCTAATCAATTTTTCTATGCCTCGTGTATTTGCCAAAATAAAGTATTGATGGCTTTTCACTTATGTGGATGGAGTCGCAGGTGGCTTCGAACTAATTTTACTCAATTTTTTGAATTGCTAAAATGAAGTTGTCGGTAGCTTCCCATTTGTGTGATGAAGCCGTCAATGATTTCAAAATTATTTTATTTATTATCTCGCTTGTCCGAACTAAAGTTGTTGATGGCTTCTCACTTATATGATAAAGTTATCGGTGGCTTTTAAACCAGCTTATCTCGCTTCTTGCTCGAATGAAATAAAGTTGTCATTAACTCTTTACTTATGTATCGAAGTTGTCGATAAATTCTTAAATAAATCCATGACTTGGTGGCTCGTTGCTTATGTTAATAAAAAACTATCAACCTTTAAAAATTCACCTATTTATCGGTATAGGTTTATTTTCGCTAAAGATTAGCCAAAATTCCAACCTCTTTCACCTTTTTCTTCCGAGTATGGGTATCGACTTCGAACCGGATCGAACCTCAAATTACTCTACTATTCCATCATAATAAATAAATTCATTGAAATAAATATAGAAATATAACATAATAAAACCATATTTTTATTTCATGTGTAAACAATGCAACTTACTTTAGGTATGACTGAATAACGGTGATGTTATATTTTTCTCATACATAATTGATCTTTTATCTAGATACCTTTGCATACCAATATGTTTAGAATTTTTTAGTTTTTTTCGATCGCTTAAATAGTGACTCTTTGTTCTCGCACATCCCCATGGGCCCACATCAACAATGTTCCTTCAACCTACTACATATCTTGTCAAATATACAAAATATATTATAAAGTGCTGGTTTATATGCATAATTATATGAATCGAGGAAAAAGAAAAAAGAAAAAAAAACAAATGTTATGCATACATCCTATATGCACAAAGTACGATATTTAGGATAGAAATTCAAAATTCTCAAGTTTTCATTTATTGTTGTCATTGTGTCATTAACCTATTGTTATTTTCACGTGATACATATGAAATGAATTTTTTTATTTATCGTTGGTGTAAAGCATGCTTCTTCTTTAAAAAAGAAAAAAAGAAAAAAATATTCGTTTGTTATGATTATTATTGTTTTTGTTTATTTATTTTTAGAAAAATATGTTATGATGTTCCTTCAACCTACTACATATCTTGTCAAAGATACGAAATATATTATAAAGTGCTGGTTTTATATGCATAAATAATTATATGAATTGAAGAAAAAAGCAAATGTTATGCATAGATTTTATATACACAAAGTAGATATTTAGGATAGAAATTCATCATTCTCAAGTTTTCATTTATTATTGTCATTGTCATTGACCTATTTTTATTTCTACTCGGTACATCTAATATGATTTTCCCGCCCTCATATATTCACCATCCCATGTATAAAACAAATTCCTCATCTTGTTGCGGAGAATTAAAAAAATAATAAAATAAAATATGATGCAGCAAGAAAAATATGCACGCTCAAAGAACCCAAAACTCGTCCCGATTCAATGAGATGCATCCTGCTAAATACCTATAAAAAGGTTGCCGGGCCATTCGGGAAAAAAAACACGAGTAGGGAGCGAGTGTTATGTCGTGCAAATTATTTTTTTCACGTATGATAAATAAACACAGTTGGCTGGTCAATTTATAGCAATTGCATGGTGTATATGATATCTCTGGGGACGGTACGTAGTCTGGTAAGGTATATTTTTTAGTTCCTTTAATTTTCTTTTTCTTCTGGTAAGATATTTTTATAATTTGGAAGATATACCAAAACGTGATTGAAAGGGATTTTAGTGTAAAAAATTAGCTAAAAAATATCGTGATTGTTAAAAAAATGCATTGCTCACCAAAAGTCACAAAATTGCAGCCTTGGGTGGTGTTGTAATATCAAACAGCTATGCTTGTGAAGCACTGAACGCTGGGCTTGAAGCAGTGGCCTCGTTCTTTCTTTTGTCCTTTTTCCCGTTCTGATCGTTTAACCTGTAGCTCGTAAGTGCTCCTCCAAATCACTTCATTTTCCTACGTGCTGGAAAAAAAAAAAAAAAAAAAAAAAGGGAAGTGTTGCATTATTAATTGCAGGTGTCCATAAGACTATGGTTGGATGTATATGTGTATGTATATATTTGCCGAGGTTTAGTCAAATTTTTCATTCCTGAAATATTAGGGTTGTGATAAATTGAGCTGTATTTTAATTAATTTTGACTCTAAATTATTATGGTTTGAACAAATATTGCCATTCTGTTTGATTTTATTATTTGTATTGATTAAAAACTCCTTAAAAAATTCAAATTTTGATATTTTTAACAAAAAAAATTCATAGAATTTAATTAAAATTCAATTCACTTTCATGAATAATTTCAATTTGTTTTGGATTTGAAATTAATTTTTGTTTCTTGAATAATAAATAATGAAAATGAGCTGGAATTATCTCTCTCTTTTTTTTTTCCTCATAAACTCTAAGGGGAACTTACGAATTTACATAGAAAATTTTAGAGCGGTTCTCAAATTTTTTATATATGTTGTTTTTAAAATTAACCGATTACACATTCAACCATGTGAGTATTTGGAGAATTATACTAAAACTAAACAAATAAATTTAAATGATTTTTTATGCTTCCCAATATAATTTGGAATCTTTTCAAATTATTTTGTTTTATTTTTCAATTTTGTTAACAGTTAATGCTTAAGAAAAAAAAATTAAAAATCCTTCTTGATTTAAAAAAAAATTGAAATTATTTTAGAAAGTAGATTAAACTTTTATTAGGATGTGTAAAAATTTTAAACTCAAAATATCAAAAAAAGATTTTTTTTTTTAAAAAAAATTGATCAATGATAACGATCAAATCAAAAGGGAGATAATATTCATTCAAAATATAATAATTGAATATTAAAATTGACCAAATTTTAATACAATCCTTAATATGCTTACAATTCTAATAATTGAAAGGTTAAAACTGTCATTAAAATCATTCGCTAAATATGAGTTCTTTCATTGATAAGAAATATAAATTTACGTTTGTTTAAAATATATTAATTAAAAATAAGGATTCTTTCATTGATAAGAAATATAAATGGACGTTAGTTTAAAATATATTAATTAAAAATAAGGATTCCAGTCTAGAAAAAAGATTTGGATATCATTACATGGATTTTATGTGATGAAAGATTACCATATAAGACTTTAGAGACTATATTTACTTCAACATGATGTTCTTGGTGTACACAGTTTCTTCTGTTATGGTTCAAATTACATAACCCAATTTATCCAAAGAAGGAGGCCCAATCAAGCAACCCAAAAATTTAAGTTTCACGTTGCCAGTAGAGATTTTTTTTTTCCCCTTTAACGTTATTACCGTAAAAAATAGAAGTTTTTCAATTCGAGTTCTATCTTACAATTAGCGATACGATCCTTTAATTTGTTATGCAAGAGTAGCAATGACTTACAAGTCCATTAATCTACTAAACAATTTTTAAACGAGATCATTATTTTTCCATAACCAGCAATTAAGATTTAATATAATTAAAAAAGAGGCCGATGTTATAAAATAAGAAAAAGAAAACAAGTTCTACTTTGAATCGTATTCTACTTGCTCAAAAGAAAGAAAAATGCGTATTATATTCACCAAAATTATCCAATTAAAGAGATGTGATCCAAAAGAAAACATAAATATATACCTCGTAACGTCATAGGTGTATAAAACTATACAGTTGCCAGGCTGCCAGCCTGCTGGTCTGATCATCTTCATTCTAATCCACAGAAACTTTGATTCTGACAAACTTTATCTGGATCGAAGTTGGCCCATCAAAAGTGAGTATATGTTACTCAGGAAGGTATTTTTCAGTCCAAAAAAATGGAAGGAAACCTGATTAACTTTCCGAATTCAAGTCCAGTTACATCTGCATTGTACACGTCAGAAATCGGCCCCACTCATTTTAAAGGTCCCACATTTGTCTAATTACAAGATCTGAATTTGGGTAAGCAGGCAGCCTTTCAACTCTATTTCAAGCTCTTCACCCTGAACAAAAAGACCTTCTTAATCATTCAGATCTGAATTTAAAAAGTGGTATTAAACAATTTTTTTTTTTTTTACTGTAAATACACTAATTTTATTTAGATTTTGCTAAAAATCAATTGGAAAAGGATTAATTTTGATATTCAAAGAGGTTGAAGAATATCCTGATTACAACAAGGTAAAAATTTGACTTAAAAATGTTTCAAAATTCCAAAGAAAATAATAATATCCAAAACCGCATACCCTCATTTCGGTTTTAGATAAGATTAAATATTCCTTGAAAAACCACTAGAAACATGGATTTTTTGACTTGCGAGTCTCATGCGCTTGCAAGTCTAGCGGCAACGGGGCGCCGCTTTGCTGTCAAGCTTAATTTGCTAATCTCAACGTGACCTTTGGGGACCTCCAAAGGCCACTTCACGACGTCAACCACTCCCATCTTTCCACGTGCCTTCCATGTAACTACTTCTTGATTATCTTCCATGTCACTTTATTCTATTGTTAAAATCCCGTTTATTCCTTTGGGGATGCGAATCGCGTATCCGCTCGCGCAGGTCAACTACTCTATTTTGCAATCCTTGTGTGACACGTGGTTTCAGAATTCTTTCTTAGAGGTTGTCCTAGTCATGCTTTATTTTTATTAATCCCGAATCTAATCCTGATTAGGTTGGTTGTATTTTTTAAGCTTATTTTCATATCCCCATGAATCAGGGCTTCTATTTATTGGCAATTTGTCATGCAACTAGTTATTAAAAAAAATGAAATTGAACTTATAAACATGCTCATTGTTAATTAATTAGAATATTAAAGAAATTCTAAAACTAACCGTTGATTAAAATTGATTTTTCTTTTTAGATTCTGAAGAATTATTGTATAAAAAAACTTATCAGCATCTTTATGTTTTGAGGGGGTCATCCTACCAATTTTTTTGAAAAGTAAATTTATATTATTATATTTCAGGTTACTTCAATTAGACTCATGTAATTTTATCCTTATATTTAGAGTTATTTCAATTAGACACGTTTTTTTTCTTACTACAGTTGTGACCCTATATACCTTATTTTGATTTATTATTATCCTTTCAATCATTTCGATCTAGCTCTGCAATTGCTTATGTTGGTATGAGAAACAATCAATTTTTATTGTGGAATTAAACTTGTATAATTTTTCTTGCAACAAATAGGCAGCAGGTGGCTACAATTCAAGCGTTTGAACGTCTAATTTAATTATTTAATAACTACTTGAATGAGACTGATCAGTGACGTGACACTGAAAAATATTGATTATTGATTTATTTATAAAACAACACAACATCCGCGATTTACATGTGTAGCTATCAATTCGTGACTTGATCATTTGCAATGTGTTGCTATCAATTCGTGACTTGATTTACCAGATTAAGTACCGGATCAACATGGAGCACGTAATTGATAATTACCGTGCATCTCGTTCTCGATCACCAAGACCTGGTATGACACAAGTCTAGGGTACCATACCCCCGTGAGACATTAACGTTTTGTACAAAACGAAAATCTAACTAATAAAGTTTGTTGTTTTCCTCATGGTTACTCGTTTTACATGCCATATGCATACTTGCAGAAATTAGGAAGATTATTGTACAGATTCCACCTTTGTAAATATATTGTATAGTATCAACTTGAGTGTGAATATTAACCTACATTCAAGAATACTCTAATATCCATATATATATATATATATATATTTGGATTGATATTTTACAAAAAAAAAAAAAAAGACTACATATATAGGAAGGGAAACCTTTTATTTTTTGGGTTATGCGTCGGTTATATTTTGAGATTAATTTTTCTATATTGGGACTAAATCAATCTCTACGATTTGGTTAAAATACATGTCCTTTAATAATGGTCCGGAAAACAATCAAAGAGAGATAATCCAACGAACTATGTTGGGCCAAGTGTCAGAACATTTGCGGAAAGATTCTTGCCCGACAAGAAGTATTCAAGGATAAAGCAGGAGGAATGGTATCCAGGTTGCCAAACATTATGGAAATTTTGTCGTCCTTTTTTCTATAATGATGCAAAAAAAAATAAAAATCAAAAAGGGTCACATAAGGGTCCTTAGCGACAGACCATGTGTTCTTATCACTTCTATTCATTCTCCACCTTACAAGCCAGCATCAATGGAGAAAAGACAAGTGCTTTTGCATAACTTTATCTAGCTGGTCCAAAATTCACACCTCTCTCATGAATCTCATTACTCACGATCACCTTTTGGCTTTCTCCTTAGTCTATGGTCCTTCATGTTTCATGGAGTTTTTAGGTAACTGTATTTCTTGATCGTAAACAAAGATGTAATTACTCTCAAGCCCTTGATAAACCCTTGCTCCCCAAGTATTGAGGAGTGGCTTTTTTTTGTTTTTATCTCTAGACTCTATCTTCCACATTTTAGACAAACTCGAGTGCGGGTCACGTCACAAACAGCGAGGATTTGATTAGGGAACGAATATGGAAACATAGACAAGCATTTATGGACATTATGGTCTTTCCAAGGAGAGCTTATCCACAGAATCAGTGGGAACCATAGAATATGATACCTTTATTGAGTTATAGAGAGGAAATGGAGAAGTTTCATTGGTTAAAGGGGAAGGTGAGAAGTTGGGCATCACGGATTCATAGGGACTAATTAAACAACGAAAATCTTTCTTAATAACAATCATACTATCTTGAATAAAATCACACCATCCTCTTGATGAGCTTCTACACTCCAAAGAAATACATCAATTGGTAATAAAAACTCTCCTCCTAACCACATGGTGATGCCATTTTTTGTCATAAACCTAAAACCTCAACCCAAGATTCCGGATCATCTAATCTTTGAGTGTGGGTCATAGTATTTCTTTCTTGTGTTTATAGATAGCAACATTTACTAGAATATTCAATTACCTTAGCACCTTGAACTTATCTTGAAATGAAACAAAATTGACACTTTTGATATATAAATATTCAATAGAAAATTTTCGTATTCTTATATCAAAATTAGAAAGCTCATGATTTTTTTTTATAGAATTTTAACCCAAGATGGCTTAGTTTATGTAATAGAATTGAGTCCTAATCAATTTTTAAAAGCATCAAAGGAGAATTCAAAGTAGAAAAGATCGATCAAGAAATCCTAGGAATAAAAACGTAAAGATGCATGAAAGTTGATGGAATGTAAACACAGCATAGAAGTCTCTCCGCTAATATTTTATTCAGGGGAGGATAAAAAACGCGACTCTAAGATAGGTAAGGCAGATCAGCTTATGTATAAATCCTGTGGGTGCGCACTACGCCTCTAAACAACTTACAAATTTATACAGAAAAAAAGGAAAGCCAAAAACCCATTCAAAAATGCTCACTGCGCAGCCTCTCTCTTTAGCACACACCATAAATTCTTAATATTAACTCAATTAAACCATAATCCCCTCTTAAGCCTCCCCTCTAATCTCCTTCTAAACCTTCCTTCCTTCCTCTTTAACGTAAAAAGAAAAGAAAAGAAAAAAAATATATCACAACTTCTCTCTTGCATTTGCTTGATTTTTTGTGGTTTTTTAGGTTTTAAATTGTGGATATGGCGATGGAGGAGGGTGTTAGTAATGAGAGCTGCGGTAGCAGAGTGAACGAGAACACGAGCACGACGTCGTCTGCTTCGGTGTCGCAAAGAAGGCAGCAACAGCAAAGGATGCAGCAGAAACTTGAGGCTTATAATGAGATTCTTCGTCGACTTAAAGAATCTAATCATGAAGAAGCTAATCTACCTGGCTTTGATGATCAACTTTGGACTCACTTCAATCGCCTCCCTACCAGGTACGTACGTATACACTTATTCATTTTTGTATCTCTACCTGTGTGTATATATATATATGAACGATAGCGTGTATTTAAGTACCTTTGCTAGTTTGCGATTTGTTGTTGCGATACGGAAAATGAAAATTTTGAGTATTTTTAGAAACAAAATCAAATTTGAGTTTTTCTATTTTGATTCGGATTATTATTATTTTTTTTTTAGAGGATGGTTTTGGTTTTGATTTTGATTTCTTTTTGAATATTTATGGTGTAGATATGCGTTAGATGTGAATGTGGAGCGAGCAGAAGATGTGTTAATGCATAAGAGATTGCTGCATTTGGCTCATGATCCTGCTAATCGACCGGCAATAGAAGTTCGCCTTGTTCAGGTAACGTTTATTTGCTGATTGGTTGTGTTTTTTAAATTTACTGATGCTCGATATCTGTGAAGGTTTGATTATGTGGAGGGTTTGTGATTGATTAGGCTGTGGATTTTAGGTTACGAGAGGATTTGTTCGTAAACAAGTTTTCAACAGGTGCTTTTAGGTTTTAAGGAATCCTATGTTATGTAGAATTTGGGTTTGAAAGTTTTGTGTTTTTGTTTTCTCAATTTTTTTTTTCTTTGCCACATTGTTGATGGAGAAGTAAATGAGATATAACTATACATATAGGAGTATAATACTAGTTCAGTTACTAGCCACCAAATGAATCTGTTGTAAACATGTGAGGCTGGTTTGATTTGTTTGAGTTCAATACATGTAGCTGAATTTCCACCAAATGTCTTTTATTAACCTCTTTTGCATTTGCTGTATCTTTTGTTTTTTATTGAATCTTGTGAACTTTTTATTTTTTCTAAAACTGGTTGAGTGGGAAACTTGCAATTTGGCAAGTGCAATTAATCGAATCTCCCATGCAGGTTCATCCTACTTCTGACGAGAATTCAGCTGATTCTATCCTTCCTGACTCTCCTAGCAAAGAAGCAGCCCAAAGAAAGAGGTGTGTTGTTGAGATCATTGTATTTCCTAGAATCCACTTGATCCATGTATATTGTCAATTTGATTACTCCAACCAGGAAGTGTCATTAGTATTGCTGACATCTTTATTTTGTTTTCAATGTCCAGCATGCATCCACCACCAGCCTTTGGTTCATCACCTAATCTTGAAGCACTTGCACTTGAAGCAAATAAATTTGATGATCAAGACGGCGATCATTCTGTGCATGCTAATTCAAAGTTCTTCAGGTAATTCTCTTATTCAAAATGCTGTTGTGATGGAGTTGATTGGGTTTCAAATATTTGGGGCTTTTGCCCTTTTGTTATTTCATATTTACCTTTTCGTTTAAAAAGTTTTAACAAAGTTCATTTTTATAGTAATCCTTGTCTTTAATTGATAAATCTGAGTAAAAAGCAAGATTAAAAGGAATTTAAATATGGTCAATTAATGGGCTCTCGTTCTATTTGATTGTATATGAGATCCTAAATATTTGAAGTGCCACTCAATCTGACTGAACAGTCCATCGACTATTTTTTTGGCACTTCACATGCATCTATTGTGCACACTGCAGATATATGCATTTTTCTATGCATATATACATGCGTGCAAATATTTATATAGCCATATATTTGCATGATTTACTAGATATGGATGGTGAAGTTTACAATATTTTTCTTATCGGCGTTGATGTAGGCCCATGCATGAAATTACTTTTTCAACTGATGACAAACCAAAACTCCTGAGTCAGGTAAGATGTGCATGCTTGTTGAAGTGAGCCAAGTTACTTTTTAATAATTTCTCAAGCATTGTTTCAATTTGCTGGGGAAAATCATTGTTTATTCTGCTGCTTCTTTCAATTGAATGCTGTTTTGGTATTTACTTTTGGAAGGATTGCAAACAAATTTTGGGATTGGTTTGAGCTTTATTCCATCAGCTGGCAGCATGCATTTTGATGGCCAGTCAGGTTGGATAAGTGACTGGCATTTGTTGTTAGCATGAAGAGAGTCAGTGAGAGTATCTGATACTGTGAAAATAAACATTTAGCCGTTAATTTAAGGCACATGTGGCTTATTGTGCTTCGAGTTAGTTATTGTAATTTAGCAGGCATCTCTATCTCTCTGATCTTTGTAATTCTACTTAATTTATGAGGTAGTTGATCTTTTGCAAATTTACAGTTGACTTCCTTACTTGCTGACATTGGGTTGAACATCCAAGAAGCACATGCATTTTCGACAGTTGATGGCTACTCCTTGGATGTATTTGTTGTTGATGGTTGGCCATATGAGGTACTCATTTATGCACCTTCCATGTTAACGCCCTTGGCTACTTAAGGCTGTCATTAATCAAGAAAATATTTAAAATACACAGCTTGATTGACAGACTGTTGATAATTTTCAGGAAACGGAGCAGCTCAGGACAGCATTGGAAAAAGAAGTTTTCAAGATTGAGGTAATTCCCAGATTTAATTTTTAGTGATGACAAGTATCTTCTTATGGGGTTTGCAGCTAATCAATCTGGGTTTCTACTGCTGACAATGCTTACTGTTGAATGTTGTATTACAAGCGGTTTTATGAATTTATTTGTGCACAAATTGATTATATTTCCAGTAGCTTGATTTTCTTGTTTCTTGTTTAGGGTTGATATAATATTATTTGATGAAGATCAGATATGCTTTGCATGAACTTGAAAGCAGAATATTCTCTTTAATCAATGTTCTAGTTGCTAAATTGGTCCTTTCATATTGAAGTTATAGCTAAAGCCAGTGGATCGGGCAGGATGCAATGAAATGTATTGTAAATTGCTTTCCAATATTTTGATGTAAATTCATCCATGCAGGTTCAGATCTTTCTACCATTTGGTTATTTATGGGGTTGAAGAGGGGATGCTGTAGGTTGAAATAAAACTTAGTTACAAGATAGTGATAAGAGAACTAAAAAGAGTTAAATTCAGATATTCCCAACTAGCAATGCATTTCATTGGACTCTAGTAATACTGAAAATGGGAAAGGCTAGACTACGATTGCAATAGAATAAGAATTTATCCAGTTGATTAGGTTGTCTGTACCTTTTTTGTTGACATATATGTTTTATCTGCATTATTTTTGGACAAGTTACCATCTATTTCTCCCAAGAGCTACCGCTTCAAATTTAGATGATATGCCTTGTATACGACTGGCAGAATGCTACTAGCAACGTTTTGAATGTGGTAAAGCATGTACCTGAATTTTCTGTTAGAATAATTCACTATAGGTTGCTGGTGGGTACCATATCAAATTTCTCCAGGTTTTTGTTTCCTTTATTCTTTAGTATCCCAATACAAGAAGATAATTTATCTCTTCACCATGTCATTTGACTGGAACTTAACTGTGTTGTTTATTGTGTTGTGCGGTCCCATCCGCTGTGTATCAATTCAATATGCATTCTCAATTCGCTTTAAATTTGTTGCTGTACTTTGGCAGGCTTGGTACCGTTCTTCATCTCCTACCAGTGATCATGAGCAATCCAGGATCAATTATGATCTTGATCATGTTGCAATACCCAATGATGGCACTGATGTGTGGGAAATTGACCCTAAACATTTGAAGTTTGAGAACAAAATTGCATCTGGATCATATGGCGATCTGTAAGTTAAATCTCTTTGAGATACAGTTTCTGACAGTGTTTGATTTTTTATTCAACCGTCTCCTCGTATTGGTTTAGGTTCAAAGGTACATACTGTAGTCAGGAAGTGGCTATCAAAATCCTCAAGCCTGAGCGAGTAAATTCAGACTTGCAGAAAGAGTTCGCCCAAGAAGTTTACATAATGAGGTTAGACGTGATTTCTTCAGCTACAATATTATCTACAACTCTAGGCTGCTGACTTTTCCTGGATTTGGTTTTTCCCTTGTTTTTACATAACCTTTGAACTTGTAGGAAAGTTCGACATAAGAATGTCGTACAATTTATTGGTGCTTGCACCAAGCCTCCAGATTTGTGCATTGTAACAGGTAAATGCCAACTAGTTTTTAAATGTTTGATACTTTATTTAGTCCTTTTTATGAATTTCTTTCTTCTTCTTTTTTTCCCTTCCATTTTTCATCTCCGATTCGACATTTTGTATCTTCTTATAATTGTTTTTCCTTTCTTGTTAAATAGAATTTATGTCTGGAGGAAGTGTCTATGACTACCTACACAAGCACAGGGGTGTTTTTAAGCTTCCAACATTACTTAAAGTAGCAATAGATGTTGCTAAAGGAATGAATTACTTGCACCAAAATAATATAATCCATAGGGATTTGAAGGCTGCAAACCTTCTCATGGATGAAAATGAAGTAAGATTTTCCTTCTCCATATTTCATTTTCTCAGCGAGTGTGTTGTTTACTATTCAATTAGCTTCAATGATATTATTTTACCAAGTCTTTTCCTTCCCCTCCATGTCTAATTTAATCATGATCACTGAGTCTGATAAATCAAATTTGCTTGAAGCTTTGTACCATATGTTACTTGTATCTATAAGAAACTTTTCGTTTATTTCATTTCAGGTGATTAAGGTTGCTGATTTTGGTGTTGCCAGAGTGAAAGCTCAAACTGGAGTTATGACTGCAGAAACTGGGACCTATAGATGGATGGCTCCTGAGGTGCACCTTTGTTCTCATTAGACCTTAGTCTGAAACAATTCCACGCTTCCCTATATCCTTATCCTTGGTACCAGTTTGTTAACTATCTTGATATTGATCTTTGTGTTATGAGAATGGGTGATACTCATTATCCTCCAGTGTGGTTATCTGGCTATTCTCTGTTTCTTTATCGTTCACCAGTTTTCTGTAACTGATTTTTAATTCGCTTGTTTGCTGTCATGGAGAGAGAGACCACTTGTTTACCATTGTTAAATAAATCATAGCTTTATCTCCCCCTTTTCCCCAATGATTATTTTTGAAACTTGAATGCTTCATTAGTTTCATGTTGGTAACCATCATGCATCTTCTAATTGGTTCATCTCGCCAATTTCTGACAACAGTTATTTTGCATTGAAGGTCATTGAACACAAGCCGTATGACCACAAGGCTGATGTATTTAGTTTTGGGATCGTGTTATGGGAGTTGTTAACTGGAAAGGTATTGTTGGTAATTTGGTATTATATCTCGTCTCTTTTCAGAAAGTTTCTGATCCCTTAAGCTGATCACTTTTACATATTCGACCTCCCAGCTTCCATACGAGTACTTAACCCCGTTACAAGCAGCTGTTGGAGTGGTTCAAAAGGTAAAAATCCAGTTTTTTCTTTTTCCGGAGGTAGCACCATTTCACGAGAACCATTTCACGAGATAACGCCATGATTATAACAGCTTGCATGGTGATTTCCTTTCGTCTGGTTTCAGGGTCTACGGCCTACAATGCCCAAGAATACTCACCCAAAGCTTGCCGAGCTGCTTGAAAAAAGTTGGCAACAGGATCCAGCCCTAAGGCCTGACTTTTCAGAGATTATAAATATACTGCAACAAATAGCAAAAGAGGTACTCATCAATTTTAATACATTTACTGGTTTGATTTCTCTTACAAATGGGTTATTATTTAGTTTATGTACATTTATTTTCTGCACAAGTGATAAGACTTGCAAGTTTACATTTCAGGTTGGGGACGATGGTGAATGGCGCAAGGAGAAATCATCTGGCGGATTTCTATCCGTGCTCAGGAGGAAGTAGAAGGAAGAGCTGCGGTTGTTCATAACCTGATCAACTTACTAGTCGATCACAAACCAACCATTTTAAATCCTTCTAAAATACCAATACTGTACAGTGTTTAAATTTTTTCTGCCGATCATCATCAAGCTGTTAATTCTTTTTTGTTCGTTATTTCTTTTCAATTTTTATCTAAGTCCATTTTTGAAAGAGTCATTCCCATCTATCAGTTCAAGTTGTGTGAGTTCCTCTCTTTTGGAGGGCTTTTTAAGTTAATTATCAATTTCTGCTCGACATTCATGTAAATGTAGCAATTCCTCGTTTCAAAATTTTGGAGGAAAAAAAAAAGGAGAATTTTTTTTTTTTTCAAATAATAATCGAAGTTTTTGATTTCAAAGAGTTGTAACATGTTAAATTGGTCGTCAAGGAAATAAAAATGAAATTTAGAGAGATTATTTACTGCATTATTGTGGCTGTGTCTTTTTGTGGTGTTCGATTTTCTTTTTTGGAAGAATTCCAGAAAAATCAGTTTACGGTATTGTAATATTAGATAGGCAACATAAGGGCACCATCTAGATAAAAGATCGGTGAAAATAACTCGATTGATTTAGGTGGTTCTATGTAATATGTGCTGGAATTTGTTGACTCTAACTGAGAAACCATATCTATGCGGACATGTGAAAATAGCGATAATTTTTTTATAATTGAAACCTATACTTGAATTTGAGTTAGAGACGGTTGGGGACATAAGAAATAAACTCACCATCAAGCCACATCTCAAGGCTATTCTCAAATTTTTCTAAAGCTTTTTTTTTTTTTTTTGGGGGGGGGGGAATGTTTTTTCAGAGCTTTTGATTCCATTCTATTTATCTATTGCTGGGCCAGGAAAAGATCGAAAGACCCAAATTTACAATTTTGTTGGGCCTTGGGTTTCTAATCTTGACTTGAGCCCTTTTAGTAAAATCTAATCCATTACATTTTTTTTTTTTTTTTTTGTAGAAAAGCACATAATAATGATTTAAAAAAAAAAAACTATCAACTTCATCAACTCCTGCTTTCATGTTTGCAAGCTCCAGTTCTGACTTCTAACTATGAACACGCACGCGTGGTATCAACAAAAGATAACAACCTCGCACGTGCCATGGAATCACCACAGCCGCCGCCGTCCGCAACTACTACCTTATCTTTCACAGCCACCACCACCACTGAATTTATCGACCAAATGGCACTTTAAATGTGTAGCTGCAATTAGCAAACAAGCCCAACGTTTCTTCTCCGCAGTGGTGCCCTCCCTTGTCACAGGAGATACTTCAGCTTCTAACCGTTTGATAAAGAAATTTGTGGCATCATCACCGAAATCAATTACTCTCGATGCACTCTCTCATCTTCTCTCTCCTGACTCCACTCACCCTCTCCTCTCCTCTCTCACTCTTCCAGTAAGCAATAACCCACCATTAAAAGACTCCTTTTCTCCCTTTGAAATTAAAAATCCAAATTTTTTATGCTATATGTGCCTGTGTTTGTGTTTTTGCAGCTCTATTTAAAGATAAGTGAAGCATCGTGGTTTAGTTGGAATGCTAAGTTAGTTGCACAAGTTATTGTCTTGCTAGATAAACAAGGCCTAGACAAAGAATTAGAAGCTTTGATGTCTGAAACAGTTTCAAAATTACAGTTTAAAGAGAGGGAGCTTGTTCTTTTTTATTGCAATTTGATTGAGTTTAACTCAAAACACAGCTGCAGTCGTGGGTTTGATGATTCTTATGCTCGTTTGAATCAGCTTGTTTGTGATTCTATTTCCGTTTATGTAAAAAAACAAGGTTATAAAGCTATGATTAGTGGGTTATGTGAAATGGGTAGGGCTAGAGAGGCTGAGGATTTGATAGGAGAGATGAGAGGGAAAGGAATAAAGCCAACATTGTTTGAATTTAGGTGTGTTTTATATGGGTATGGAAGATTAGGATTGCTTAAAGATATGGAGAGGATTCTTGATGAAATGGAAAGTGGAGGGATTGAAGTTGATACGGTCTGTGTAAATATGATTCTTGCATCTTATGGAGCTCACAATGCACTTCCTGAAATGGGTTTGTGGCTGCAAAAGATGAAAACTTTGGGCATTCCCTTATCAATAAGGACTTGCAATTCGGTTCTGAATTCATGTCCTAGGATCATGGCATTGATGAGAAACTTGGATGCTTGTTATCCAGTTTCGATTCAAGAATTGTTGAAGATTTTGAGTGAGGACGAGGCAGTTTTAGTTAAAGAATTGGTTGAATCATCAGTTTTGAATGAGACAATCAAGTGGGATGCTTTAGATGGGAAGTTGGATTTACATGGAATGCACTTAGGTTCAGCGTATGTGATACTGTTGCAATGGATGGAGGAGACGAGGAATAGATTGAGTACCGGAGAGCATGTGATTCCAGCAGAGATTACAGTGGTTTGTGGATCAGGAAATCATAGCAGTGTTAGAGGGGAATCTCCAATTAAATCTATGGTTACAGAGATAATGGCTCAAACGAGAAGTCCAATGAGAATCGATAGGAAGAACATTGGTTGTTTTGTTGCTAAAGGAAAAGCTGTCAAGGAATGGTTGGCTATGTTAAATGATGGATGAGCAAGGTATCATCCATTAAGCACAGATTTCTACTTGATAATTACGTCATTAGAGATTTCCTTTCTATATTGCTTTTATCCCCAACTACTGTTTCCATATATAACTGGAGGCAATTTTTTAAGAAAATATACATAGAACTGCAGAACCATGAAGTTATTAAGCAAGTGGAGTCCATTTACATTTTTTCAAAAAAAGCATCTTGAATCGTAGCAATAAACAACAGTATGTTACATTACGACGAAGAAAGATGCATCAAAACGGATCATTGACAATCTTTTTCTTTGATATACAATGTGGACAATCATGTCTACTCAGGAAGATAAAAGAGTACAATAGGAGTAGGCTGTATACAGAATCGCTGCCATAGAGGACAACAGGAGACGTTAAGAGAGGCATGCAGTGAGCAACTTTTAGTTCTTTGCAAAATTGATGCTCCACTCTTCCCCATGAATGTTGTCGCACGTCCAATCCCTAGAATTCATCAAGGGTGAAAACTCTAGTCCTCAATGATAATGAAACACCTTCATGGAAGAATGAAATAATCCATCAAAATTGTAGCAGCAACAATGCCTTGTTTAATGACAAAATTTGAAGAGGAATAACAATCCTATGAGAAGAAAAATCCCAGAGATATTCAATATGCTTTTCCTGACAAATCATTTCATATTCTAACCTCACAAATGAGATCCACATGTATAAAATGTATTGTAACTAATGAGCACTACTCCCAGTGTTAACCCACGTGTGCTAAATGATTGCCAATTTAAGTAGTCACACAAGTTTTAGTTTTTTTATATTTGGGCTAAGCAAGATGGTAAATATTTCAAAAATAAAAGCATTTTCTCTACACATTCTTGATGTCCATGTAACTTTGCAATCGGGTATGGTAGAAACATGTTGCATTCAGAACTAAAATAAGAGTGGAATACCTGGTCAAAATTCAAAATTAGTTTAAGGAATGACTCCTCAAAACCATGGCATCCACCATATGTACATCTTCCCAAGATTTTTGTGCGACACTGCTTCAGCAATTAAACGACGAACCTGACCTTCCACGGCAAGAGGCAAAGAGGGTGCTGCTCCAACACCAACAACCACCCCTTGCAACCTTGCTTCAATATTATTGATGGCTCGCTGCAATATTCAACAGACCATGCTTTAGTATTTTATGAGTGTGTAATAATTACCCTCAAGCACATGTCTTGAGACCATGTCATTATACATTTTTAGCTATAGTATTTGTTTGGGCAAGTCAACCCAGCGATTAAAGATTACTATGAAAAGATAAAGCTAAACTTGAAGCAACCATGACGGATAAATGATGAAGATTGGAACCTGTGCATGTGGGTTCTGAACTTCAACCCCACTGGATTTGTGAGATTTTGTCCACTCCACAAGAGGATCGTGAATGAAAGTTTCAAGAACACTCATTAAAGTTTCCCTGTGTGTCCTCAATACTGAGAGTGTGATTTCGCAGACCCTCAAGAAAATGCCCTCATAACCGGTGATGCCCAAACCATCAATCATGTTCTGCAGGATCAATCCAACAGTTTCCAAGGGAATAAGAAACCAGGTTTGTGAAACCATATTCGATAAAATATAATCCAAAGTTATAAAAGAATACAAAGTACTTCTGGGTATGTCATCAAATATTGCATAAAACCCATTCCACATTGGTGTTGAACTCAATTTAAAACTCATCCTGGTCTTAAATTATTCATAAGAATGCAAGGGCTATAGTAGCATAAATCGATTGAAGATGGATAGAATCATTAGCAATTTGATAAACTACTATCGAATGCAAAATTCCTGTTACCTGTGTCAACCTGAAAGGCACTAGCTCAGGCTTTTCCAACTGCAAGCCTTTGTCAAATAGACAACTGAAATCAACGTGGACACAGTCACCTGTGGTAGAGTCAAAGAGAATGTTTTCACCATGTCGGTCTCCTAGTCCCACAATATGCCCAACCATTGACCAAACTGCAGTAGTATGAGCATAAGCAATCCGAGCCCTAAACCAAGCAGCTGGCTCAGAAAAAGTGGTCAAGAACCATTTGTGGAAAACTGGAGGGAACATTGGAAGGATCTTATTTTTCAGCATTTCTTCTTCCGGCATTTTACCATGGCATTGATCATAAATACGTTTAATTTGAGGATTTGTCTTTTGCCTATCAAATTTCCCACAGGTTAAATATATGTCTTGAAGTATATGCCGGAGTCCACGGGTATGGGGCACCCATTCCACTAAACCGCAGTCTTCTGTTAGAGGAATTACTGCAAAAGTACGAATGTAAAGTTTCCTTCGACGGCTTTCAGGATATTTCGATAACAAACGGTTTATCATTGCAGTGAACTCCATCATACGAGCATCTTTCCTAAGGTCATCCTTGGGCTTGCAGAGGAATGGGCGTTCAATACCATCACTACCCAATAAAACAATCTGAAGAACCAGAACAGACCAGCAGTTGATGAAAAAATGATCCCAACAAACCACAAAGGCAAATATCAGAAAAATTACTGGACATGGCATGACAGCTTCAATTCAGTGATACCCTAAAAAAAAAAAAAACTATGCCAGTATAGCAACACGAGTCACATAACATTTCATCCCTACCTATATATATATATATTAAAAAAAAAACTATGCCAGTACAGTGACACGAGTCACATAACATTTCATCTCTACCTATCCAGATTTTGAAGCTTATTTGCAGCAGTATAACTACTTCAATCCATTAACAATTAGGAAACCACTCCACTTGACATGAGTGACAAACTGGTGATCAAATTCAGCATAGTTACATCTTTTTCTTGATTCGCAAAATTGACAAATGAAGCAATTATTTCATCTGTATTTTTCATTTTCTATGAATGACTTATTTTGTCAATTGAACTAGTCATTTCATCAAATATGAAATATGGGCCACACCTGCCCCCATTTATGATAGAGTTTTCAGTTTTCAACAAGTTTCTTTGTAATAACACGGGGGATCTTAAAGAAATTCAATTTTCTCTCATACAAAATTATTTGAAGACCATAGACACCGTGTTTATTTGGGCATGCTGTGCCAAAGAGAACCATAATATCACAAATCCAGAAGGAAATGGAACCAGGATCACGTGCAACTAAAGCATATTCAAGCTTTCCCTGATATCAGCAGCTTAGAGATACTTACTTTCTTAGGTCGCTGAAGAGATGAAAGAATCTCAGCCTCATCAGCTATTCCTGAAATTGTTGGAAGATCAGAAGCAGAAAAGATAACAGAGGTAAGCGGGTCGGTGAGATTCACATCATAGGTTGGTAAACTAACAGTAAGAGATTGTTGAATTGGCATGATAATTTCCAGTGGCATCATCCTTTTCAAGGCACTGAATTCAGTTGAAATATTAATTGTCCTTGCTTTGGGTTGTCCTGGGTGGAAACACAATCTGATAAGATGATCAATCAGGCTAGCAAACTGGACAAACAAATTGCTTCCGTTGTTTCCTTGGCAGAATCCCTTTTTAGCCTCTTGTATGATTGCTGCAGCTGCTTCCCTCCTTGATGGGACTGTGGATTTTGAAACAGCTGCCATAATCCATAGGGCTTGTTGGGGATACTGCTGGATAACAGAGGTGATGATGCGTTTGACCAATTTCACAATATCTTCATTCTGGTGGCAGATTCTAGAAACTAATTGAGGCAGCACAGTTAACCACTGATATGTTGGCAAATCCTTCAAACAGCCTCGCATAATACACATAACCTACCAGAAGAAGATAATTGAACGCGTTTTAAAATGCACTAGGAAAAAAATAAAGTGCACTTATACTGTCTGTCCTGAACATTATAGTACCTTGTCATGAACCTTTTTCAAATCTTGATTGGATGATGAGCCGCATCTCTGATAAATGCTTCCAAATTCAAACCATAGGGTTAGCAATCTTGGAAGAGCTTGAAAGAGATTCCTGTGGCCCCTATGCAGCCCCTTAGCATAGAATAAAAGTACATCAGGTGCATAAGTCCACCATCGCCTCTCAGTGTTTGAAGGAGAAATAGAAGCAGAAGCCAATGGTACCATCCTGGGACCTAGTTCATGATTGTCGTCCTGACGTTTCCTGGCATCAACAAGAACCTCATCACAATATTTAGCCAAATAGAAGAATCCTTTTTCCCACTTAGGCTGCAGGTCCCTCACCCTGGTATAAAGAGTTATGACATCTTCCTTTTGCTTCTGCCCTGTATAATGGATCCATCTGGAATATAAAAGTAGAGTCTTTGCAATATCTAGATTCTCACTTGAAGCTTGAGTATCGCAAAGTGCAGGTTGGGGATTCAGTGGAACCAACGAAAGGCTAGTAATTGAAGACCTCGCAGCAGCACCTACAACCTTTTCAGGCATGTGAAGAAGAGTTTGCTGCAACTCTGCAATGGCTCCATCTGATCGCCTAGTACTCCACAGAAGCTTGGCCTTTTCCATATGAACATTAGGTGCACCTGAAGCCTGGGCTTCAAGAATTGCTCGGTTCGCTGTCTCATAATGACCAGCCAAGCGACAAAGCTTTGCATATTGAAGCCAGCAGTTCCCAACATGAGCACCAAGACTACTGGCACCAAATACCAATCTTCGGAAAGCCAAAAGAGGTTCCCTTGCCCAAAGGGATGGTTGTGTAAATCTGAGCCGATGGTCCCAATTCTCCATCAATTTAGTGAATTCCAGATGACCCAGATGGAATTTTTTGACCAAGAAAGAATCATCGGCAAGAAGAGTATGGAAGTCCTCCAACTCACGGAGCAAGTGAAGTTTCACGATAAATGGGTAAGCCCGCATGTAAGAATCCATACCAGCGGCAGCTAGAGGGGCAATCAGAGCTTGTTTGGATAGTGCAATCTTCTCAGCAACTGAGAACTGATCCTTCTTCATCATAGACTGGAGAATCTTTGCAACATCCATGTCAAAGGAAGCATTACTTTCAGAACCGCTACAAAGTAAACCATCTTGATCAGCCCTGCTGAGGTA